GGGGGGGGGGGGGGTGAAGGCCACACAAAGTTTCCAGCGGCCCTTGTCAAAATGCCCCTCTCTGCCCAGCTCCTCACAGGCACCTCCCGCGTTCTTTCCTCCACAGCTTTCTAGCGGGTGGCTCCTATCCATCCTTCGAGGCTCAGGCCAGACATCACCTCCTCCAGGAAACCTTCCTCATCCTGGCTCGCCTGCTTCCCATGGCCTCCCATAATCCTCGCTCTTTCCCACCCCCTCACAATCCCACCCAGTGTTCTATCGGGCTTTTCCTGCACCTCCCTCTCCCAGTGCCCAGGCCAGACCTCGCCCCCCTCCCCCGTGACTGAGTCCCATGCAACTGAATGGCCAGCAGCACTGAGCCAGGCCCAGAGCTGGGGCCGCCAGGTTTCCTGAACGGGCTGACAGTGACCCTTCACCCGACGGTACAGTGCAGCCGCACGGAGAGCAGCACAGTTGAATCCTTTCTGCCCTGCAAATCCAGTGTCCCAGAGGTGGCAAGGGGGCCCCTTCTTGGAGAGAGGGGATGCTTCCCACGCTCTGTGAAGCTTAGCCATTGCTATTCTTCCCTGACAGAGACAGGCTTGCAGCACTAGAGATTCGACTGCTCCCATGTGAACCAAGGGGTGGGTCGGGGAGGTGAACTGATGGGGGCAGATCTGGCTCAGCGTAGTCAGACCTGTGCAAACAAGAAACACGAGTAATGAGCTCCCCGTCACAAGAGGCATGCAAGCAGAAGCAGAGGGCCTGCAGAGGGCAGTGTGGGTGTCAGCTTGGGCACAGAGCTGGATATCTTCTAAGGACCTGCCCCAGTCTGAGACTGAGAGTTACATGGGAACGGAGAAAGCCAATTCAGCATAGATGCCGGTGTCAGAAAAGAGCTAACTTCTCCACGAGGGAGGCGTGGCCTTATCCTCGGCTCACTCTCTTCTGGGCAGGTGAGCTGAGCACGCGCACGCTGTGGCCACTCCGAAACCCCGCGGGACGGGCAGGTTCAAAGGCATAATCACTGAGCGCTGGAAGCCCAGCATCGTTGCCTGAACAAAGGCTGCATTCAGCCTGAAGCGAGACCTCTGATCTCCCAGGCCCTGACCGCGGCGGGCACATGCGTGATTCCAGAGCAGCCTCGGCAGCCCTTCCCAGTGCGTCCTGCGTCGGCGGCCACCTCACCGAGCGGGGCTGCGTTGAGGGCACTGCTGGATCCTCGAGGCATCGCTTACCTTCAAAGGCAGGGGCCAGCGGGGAGGTCTGGGGGCTGGGAGCAAGGCGGCTGACGGTCAGGTCGCTCTCGGTGCCCCCGCGGTGGTTCAGCATGCAGGTGTACACCGTGGAGCCTGCGGACAGGACGAAGACCCCAGAATGTGGGAGCCATTTAGCGGGGCGGCCCCTCAGCTCAGGGTAACCCTTGGTCGGATACCCTAGGGGGGCAACCTTGAAAGGCCCCTCGTCTCAGTGATGCCACCACGACTGAATGACCCAGGGAGGGACGGGCAGGTCACCCAGCACTGCCATGCCCAGAGGAGGAAGGGTCAGGAGGGAGGCTTCTTTCTTCTAGAAATGCCTCGAATCCCTCCCTCCCACCCACCCCACCCCCACGCTGGGATGTCTTTAAGGGCAGGATTTACATCTCATTCATTGGGTGCTCCTAGCACCATGCCTGGCACAGCAGAAGCTCCTTGAATGGCTGATGAATAAATGAATATGCAAAAGGAAGTTGATGGATGGATGGATGAGAGAATGTGGAGGTGGGGAGAGGGTGGGGGGAAAGCATGGATGGAAGGAGGGGATGGGTGGGTGGGTAGAAGGGTGTTGGCACGAAGAATGGGACGCGGAGGATTAAGGGGAGGTGAGTGGCAGGTACGTGTGAGGGGGTGTGCAGGTGGGTTGGCTGGATAAATGGTGTAATGGGTTGAACTGTGTCCTCCAGAATGGTATGTGGAAGTCCTAACCCCCGGTCCCTGTGAATGGACCTTATTTGGAAATAGGGTCTTTGCAGATGGGATCATGCTAGGGTGATCAGAGGTCATCAGAGTGGGGCCCTAATCCAACGTGACCGGTGCCCTTAAAAGAAGACGAAAACACAGGGAGAAGGCCGTGTGACTCAGAGGCAGAGACTGGAGCAACGTGGAGAGACTGGAGCAACGTGGTTGAAAGCCACGGATGGTGGCCACGGCCAGAAGCCGGGAGGGGCAAGGAGGGATTCTACGTTCTTGGGATCACGGTCCTGAGTTTGAACTTCCAGCCCCAGGCTTGTAAGACAACACATTTAGGTTGTTTAAAGCCACTCAGTTTGTGGTACTTTGTTACAGCAGCTCTAGGAAACTAATAGCGATGGGGCTGGGTGAGTTTGGGGTTGGGTGGATGCGTGGGCAAGATGCTAGAGGGATGCGAGATAAAAAAGGAGAGGAATACCCCAAACACTGTACGGGACACACTTACACTAAGAAATTATTCATTCTTTATTTAGAATTCAAATGGAACTGAACACCCTGTGTTTTTGTTTAATTTTAGAAACCCTATTTGGGGAGAGCATTCCTAGCGGGGGAAGTGGACAGGTTCCCCAGCCCCAGGAGACTGTTCTGAGGACTTGCTGCCTGGAATCCTGTCTGGAACAAAGTAAAAGCGGGGGAACAGTCAGGGTGGCTTTATAGCAGAAGGGGACATGTCAATGATACGAGTGTAACCACACTCACCAAAGAGTGGCACAAAATGAAGACAAAAGCCAGCACGCGCTGGTAGAGCATGGGGGAGGATGGAGGAGGAGACAGAGGGTAGAGGGAGGCAGGCAGGTGGAGGGGGCCTGGCGCCGGGGCTCGGCCAGGAGGGCAGAGGGGTCTCGACACGGGGATCCAGGGGCGGAGCCATGAGCCAGATGCGCCCAGAGAGGACAGGGTCAGCTCACTGCCTCGTCTCAGTGCCCGGGGCTGCAGTGAAGTGGGAAAGCGTGGCCCACCTGGGCTCCGTACCTGGGGGCCGGCTGACATCGGCCGAGAAGAGCCAGTCGGCGGCCTTCCTCGCGTCCAGGCCCACCAGGTAGAACTTCCCGAAGTAGGACATGTCAAACACAGCAGCGGCCCCTCTGCAGGCCAGACACTCCTTCTTGATCTGAAAAGTTCCAGAGGTGGGGTGCTGTATGGGCTCCGGGACCTGGCTCCTCCCCCAGACCCTGGGGCACTGGGCCCTTGGCTGTCCTCCTGCTCCGAGAGCCCCTCCTGCCTTCCCCCGCTCCAGCTAGGAACACACGGTGACCATCCTTTTCAAGCACAGGAGACACTCTCCAGGGTAGACCAGGAGCCATAAAACAAGACAATAAATTCGAACGGGTTAAAATCATACAAAATATGTTCTTTGACCACAGTGGAATCAAATTAGAAATCAGTAGTGGAAGAAAAATTGGGAAATTCCCAAATAAGTGAAATCAGACAACGCAGTCCTAGATAACCAACGGATCAAAGAGAAAGGGAATTAGAAAACACCTGGAGATGAATGAACACGAAAGTACAACATATGCAGACAGATGGGATGAAGCTAGTGCTGTGCTCACGGAAGTTTTACACCTGCAAGTGCTCTCCAGTCCGTAACCTAACTTCTCCACTTTGAGAAACTAGAAAAGGAGAGCAATTAAACCCAAAGCAGGCAGAAGGAAAGACATACTAGAGATTAGAAAGTAAATAAATGAAATCTTGAAAAATAGAGAAAATCAGCAAAATTGAAAATTGTTTCTTTGAAAAGATCAACAAAATTGGCAAATCACTAGCTAGACTGACCAAGAAAAGACAGCGAAGACTCGAGGTACTGAAATCAGGAATGAGGGTATCACTAACCAATTTGTAGCAAAGGATTATAAAGAATACTACGAACAGCTGTCCACCAACAAATTAGACATGAAATGGAAATTCCTAGAAAGACACAAATTACTGAAGCCGACCGAAGGGGAAACAGTCTGAATCCGTCTATAATAAAAAAGAGACTTAGTCATTTAAAACTCCCCACAAAGAAAAGCCCAGGTCCAGATGGCTTCGCTAGTGTATTTTACCAAACATTCAAAAAAGAATTAATACCAATTCTTTGCAAACTCTTCCCAAGAGGCCGGCATTACCCCTGATGCCAAAACCAAAGACCGCATGAGAAAAGTACAGACCAAAATCCTTCATGGATACAGATACAAAAACCTCAACAGAATACTAGCAAGCTAAATCCAACAACCTATAAAAAGGATTACACACCACGATCAAGTGGGATTATCCCAGGAATGGGAGGCTGGTTTACCACCCCCAAATCGATCGACGTAATGTACCATACTCACGGGATAAAGAACAGAAAGCAAATGATCATCTCAACAGATGCAGAAAAAGTATTTGACAAAATCCAATACTTGCTCATGATGAAAACTCCAAGTAAACTAGGGCTAAAAGGGAAATTCCTCAACCTGATAAAGGGCATGAACAAAATCCCACAGCTGACATACTTAATGGTGAGAGACTAAATGTCGCACACTAAGATCAGGAACAAGACACGGCTGTCCACTCTGCTATTTCTACCCAACATTGTACCGGAGGTCCCGGCCAGAGCAATTAGGCAAGAAAAAATAAAAGGCATCCAGACTGGAAAAGGGGAAGTAAAACCATCTCTATTTGCAGATGACGTGATCTTACATACAGAAAATCCTAAGGAACCCACTGAAAAACTATTACACCTAATAAAATAGTTCAAGAAGGTTGCAGGATATAGGGTCAGTATACAACAAACAAAAAATTTTTGTATTTCTATACGCTAGCCATGAGCAATCGATGAAATTAAGAATTCTATTTACATCATCAAAAAGAATTTTTAAATGCTTACACATAAATTTAACAAAAGAAGCGCAAACTTGTACTTAAAAACTAGAAAATATCTTTGAAAGAAATTAAAGACCTAAATAAATGGAAAGACCTCTCACATTTACGAAATGAAGACTCACTATTGCTAAGATGACTGTACCTCCCAAATCAATCTACCGATTAGACAGAGTCTACCGAAATCTCGGCTGGCTTCTTGGCGGAAGTTGACAAACTGATTCTAACATTCATACAGAAATGCAAGGTACCCAGAATATTCAAAACAATCTTGAAAAAGAAGAACAAAGCTAGAGGATTCACACTTCCTGATTTCAAAACTTACTACAAAGTTAATGTACTCAAGACAGCATGGTATAGCATAAGGACAGAAATACAGATCAATGGAATAGAATTGAGAGTCCAGAAATAAACCCTGACGTTTATGGTCAGTTGATTTTTCACAAGGATGCCAAGGCAATTCGATCGGGAAAAGGATAATCTTCACCAAGTGGTGCCGGAACACCTGAATAGCCGCCTGCAAAAGCACGAAGTTGGACCCCTTCCTCACGCCACACACAAAGCTTCATCAGAATGAACCACAGACCACAAGACCTAAAACTATAGCATTCTGGGAAGAAAACAGAAGAGTAACTCGTTGTGACCTGGGTTAGGAAATGCCTTCTTAAATATGACACTAAAAACGCAAAAGGGACGAAAGAAAAACTACATAAGCTGTGTTTCACCAAAATTAAGAACTTTCGTGCTGCCAATGATATTGTTAAAAAAGTGAAAAGACAACCCACAGAAGGGGAGAAAATGTTTACAAATCATAAATCTGATAAGGGACTTGTAGCCAGAATGTACGGAGAATTCTTATAACTCAATAAAAAGACAAATAGCTCAATTTAAAAGTGAGCAAAATATCTGGATAGGCATTTCTCCAAAGAAGATATACAAATGGCTAAATATGCACATGAAAAGATGTTCAGCGCCAGTAGTCATTAGGGAAATGCAACTCAGATCTTTGAGATGCCACTTCACACCCACCCGGATGGCTAGAGTCAAAAAGAGAGCTACACGTGCTCACGAGGATGGAGAAACGAGAACCTCGTCCGCCGCGGGCGGAGGTGTGAAATGGTGCAGCCACTTTGGAAAAGCCTTCACAGATCTTCCAAACGTGAAATGTGGAGCTACCACATGGCCCGGCAATCCCACTCCTAGATATTTACCCGTGAGAAGTGAAAACATCTGTCTAAAAACTTGCACACACATTTTCAGAGCAGCATTATTCATAATAGCCCAAAAGTCGAACAACGCAAATGTCCATCGACAGATGAATGGATAAATTAAAAAGGAGTGTATCCATGTAATGGAATATTGTTCAGGATAAGAAGTAATGAAATACTAATGACTTCCTAAAACATGGATGGTCCTTGAAAACATTGTGCTAAGTGAAAGAAGCCAGTCACAAAAGACCACCATTGTACGAGTCCATTACGTGAAACGTCCAGATGAGGTAAAGCTACACAGACAGCCAGTAGATTAGTGGCTGCCGGAAGGTGGGGATGCCGTGAGAAAATGGGTTAATGGGTATAGGGTTTCCTTGTGGGGGGAGATAAAAAGGTTCTAAAATTAGATTGCAGTGATGGTTGCAGAACCCTCTGAATATACTAAAAGCATTGTACACTTTAAGTGGTTGGGTGGTATGGTATGTGAATATATCTCAATAAAGCTGTTTTTTTTAAAACAAAAAAACAAACAAAAAAACAAGGCAACATCTCTCATTATTTCCCTCCATACAGTACGCAAACGCTTGGCTCCAGTCTCAAGGTTTTCTGCTGTCCATCTGTTTTTTCTGCTTGGTCTTCCCTCGCAATGTCACTCCATCTTTGCCCTAAACCCCTCATCGCATCGCTGAGCAGATGTGCCAATCCCATTGCTTTTACTGGAAAAAAAAAAAAAATTATGACAGCAAAGCCGCCACTCAGGGAGCATTTACGGTGTGTGAGGGGCCCACACCATCTCCTCCCACCCCGTGTGGTACAGACACCACTGTCCGGGATCAACTGTGATTAGCAGCCTCACACCCGGGTGCCCTCTGAGGCCCAGGGGCAGTATGTGGTCCACTCAAGTTTACACAGGTGGAAACGATGAGCTATTCATCACCTGCGTCTGTCTAGTAGCGCCCCGCCCCCGAGAAGCCACTGTGCACATCTCTCCCCGCTCTGCGTTCAGTGATGCTGCGTGGGTGGGTGGGTGGGAGGGAGCGGACGGTGAGGGTGTTTATACAGGGGAAACTGGCCAGCGCTGGGGATCAGGCTTCCCCCCGGGACAGCTGGTTGTTACACGGCACCCCATGGGGTCTTCGCAGCTCCTGAGCCCCAGAGGCTGCTGTTCACCCCTCTCCAGACGCCACTACTCTTTATGGAGCTCCCTTCACCCATCAGCCATGTGGTACCTTCGCTTACACTGCTGGGCCTGCAGATCAAACCCCCAAACGGCTTCCTGGGCTGACAAGTGCATGTTTCATGCTTTGGGACTGTCGAGGTGCCTTTGCACGGGTGGGATGCAGCCACGAAGCCAAGTTGGCATCCCATCCCAGCGCCCACATCCTCAAGGGCCTGAACATCCCGCAGGCCTTGGAAGCCGCGGTGCGGAGGTGCCAGACGGGTCCCCGTTTGCTCCCCGGAGAGGCAGCCCCCAGGGACTCCTGGGCTTTCAGACGCACATGCCTCCCCTTCCATTTCAGAAGCCCCCTCCTCCAATGCCTTTACTAGAGCAAATTTTGGAGGAAGGTGTGCCTCCTCCCCTTCAGGACCGGGTGCAGAATGAGTCACGATAGGAATGTGGGCCTGTTCAAAACGTATTAAGAGTTTCCAGGCAGCAACAGCATGAGGCCTTGGCCCCCCCACAAACAGATACCCAAGGGATTTCGCTCCCTCCCCAGTCAGCCACGTGCGCGGGGACACAGCACGTTCTGCTGGGCAACAAAACAGCTGGGCGGCTCAGAGGGGAAGCTGGCATAGTCCTTTCTGCAGAAGCTGCCTGTGAGAACTTCCCTGTGTGATGCAGACTCAGAGGGACTCACCTCAACCCCAACAGAAATGAGGAGTCGGGAACGGAAGGAAGGGGCCAGGAGCCGCCAGGAGCGACCTGAGAATCGGAGCAGCTCCAAGAGGCTCAGAGAGGTGAAGCCCTGGCCCGAGGCCACACAGCCAGACCCAGGCCGGCCTGGCTCCAGCCCCGCTCCTTGAGCAGGCCTCACCGCTGGCAGAGTCTTGGTACAGACGGGGGGCGGGGAGGGCAAAGGAGAACATCACCGATTCCTCCACGAAACTGAGTCGGCCAAAAACGGGGGTGGGGATAGCCGGCAGAGTGGGCCAGCCCACGGGGACGCCCGCCTTTCTATCCCATCAGGGATGGGGCGTCCTACCACGTCGTGGTGGGGCGGGAAGTCGAAGGTGTACTCGTGGCCCAGCAGCCTGCCGTAGGCGTAGTCCTCGTGCGCCCGCTGCCTGTAGGCCCCGTAGTAGTCGTAAGGGAGCACCTGGGGCAGAAGAGGGGTCGTCACCGGTCCCGCCCCCTCCTCCCCCCTCCATGCACAGCGTGGCCCGGTGCCCGCGGCCTGGCCAGCCCTGAGCCGGGTCCTGCGGAAACAAAGGTCCACAGGGCAGAGCTGGTCCTGTCCTCTCCGAGCCCCGCTCTCGAGGGGCAACGTGCTGTGGACGAGGCCGGGGTAGAGGCAGGGCTCAGGCATGCCCTCCACGTTGCACAGGTGACACCATAATCTCCATGGCGGTGGGAGCGCTGGGGCCCCGGAGCGTGGAGAAGGAATGGGGTGTGCTCGGGTAGGGAGGGGCGGCGAGGGACGGGGCTGAACGGGAAACAGAGGCGGGTTGACTGGGACCTCTGGGGCCAAGCCAGGGCTTCCGAGTCAACGCCAAGGCGCTGGGATAAGGCCCAGGGATCAGCTTACGGAAGGAGAGGGAGGGGGAGTCGGGGCTGGGGTGGCCGCGGTGATCAGGGACCAGGTCCTGCTCGGGGCCAAGCCCTGCGCAAAGGGCCTCGCGCTTCCGGGAAGGGAGATCCTCTCTCCAGATGAGGAAACCGAGGCGCCAAGAGACTGAAACTTGCCTCAGGTCACAGGAGAGTCCTGAGTGCCTGGCATGAGCCCAGGTGGTGGGCCCCAGAGGCTGGCCCCTCAGCCACCACTTGCCTTGGCTTCTCCTGCACTCGGTCAGCCGCTCTCAGGGAGGCCCAGGACCCAACACCCCGCACCTGGTCCTGTTCCTGCAGATGGAGCCCCTCCTCCTCCCCCAGCCCTCCCTCCTAACTCTGCGGCCACTCCTGGAAAGGTGTGAACAAGCCCGCCAGTTCCCGCGTACCAGCACGGCCAGCCCTGCCCAGTCTCTTGTCACTGGTGAGAGCCGAGTGTGAGATTCTGACTGAGTCAGGCCTCTTTGCTCCCCCAAGCACACCCCCTACCCCACCCCACTCCAGCTCAACCTCTAGCATCCAGGGAGGGGCCTTTACAGGAATCTCTGTAGGAAGTAATCTCCCTGGCCCGCCAGGTGGCTCCCCCTGGCCCCTGAGTCCCCTGCAGGAACATCCCAGCCCGCCGTAGCCTGGCCAGGGGTCAGGGATTTGGGGACGTCTCGTCACCCAATACCCTGGACTCCCAGGATGGCTCCCGGGTGGGGACTGCACAGCCTGCTCATTTCGGGACCAGGGGTATGTCGCCGATTCCTGCTCTGGTCTCATCGCCTTGCCCACGGATTCCGGGGGAGAGGGGCTTCCAGGGCAGACCAGGCTGGCTGCAGTGGGTTCTGCAGAGACCTGCTCAAGGAGGGGTCTACCTAGGCCCCTTCTCTCTGCTGACCCCAGAGAAGCAGAGGCAGAAGCTATCAGGAACTCTGGCCTCCATCCACCTCACCTAACATGCCCTGGAACTTGCCTTGGCACATAGCTGCTATGGAGATGGGAGATGGGTCGCGCTGGAAGGGGACTGGTGACACATAGCAACGGGAAAGGGGTTTTAATTTGTACAAATCTGGATCAAATACTATATCCCCCCTGGTTGTATTAAAGCATCACATCACCTGCTCCAGAGACCGCAGGCCGAGGGTCTCACAAGCAGGACGATTTTGACTCTTTTCTCTGAGGACCCGGGTCCCTGAGAGGCACTGGGTGGGGGCTGGGCAGCCCCCAGGAGGGCACCCAGAGGCCAGGACGCTGTGAAATACCAACTTACAAGCTAACACACAGAATGCATAATTTTGTGCTAAATCCTCCTACTAACATTCACAGTTGCAGTTGCCAAAAATATATGAACAAAATTATGAGAAGATACTCTAATTTCTCCCGTAAACCTGGGGAGTCTTGTGTGAAGCCTCCACGCTGTGGAACACCAGCTCTCCTGGCCCCTGGCCCATTTGGGCCGTGGAAGGCCGGGCACCGCGGGCTGTGAGGGTTGCCTGTGGAGACATCCCACGACCTCAGGCGGACCGGCCGGGGCTCAGCTTCTCCGAAGGCCAGGTGACTCACCCGCCCCACAGCACTAAGGACAGGCAGACACACAGCCACCGCCGGTGGGGAGGACATGGGGGGGACGGTGGGCAGGGGCCGGGCGCAGGCTGTGCCGGGGGGCCGCTCACCGGAGCCGCGCCGTGGGGACTGAACCATCCCGGCCTCTCCCAGCCGTGCCGCTCCTGGAACACGCAGCCTCGTGCGAGGAGCTCCTGGTTGTGGAGGGAGAAGGTGCCCGCTCAGGCCTGGCCGGACGCGCAGAGCAGGGCAGGGAGGGGAGAATCCGCCACCCGGCACCCCAGCGGGCAGCGAGCAGAGGTCCCGGTACTTGGAACCAGGACCCAAGCCCAGGCTCTGACGCCAACTCTGCAGCCCTCGCAGCACCCACACTGCCCGCCTCAAGAATCCCCCGTCTGCAGAATTACCTTCTCTTATGGACCAAATTGCACCCCCTAATTCCTACACTGAAGCCCTAACCCCCAGTGTGACTGTATTTGGAGACGGGGCCTGTGAGGAAGGAATTAGGGTGAAATGAGGCCCTAAGGGTGGGGTCCGAAGCCTTATTAGGAGAGGAGAAGCCACCAGGGCTGTGCCTCTGCCAGGAGCAGACACAGCGGGAAGGCGGCCGCCCTCACCAGGAACCGGTCAGCGGACACCTGGATCCTGACCGCCCAGCCTCCAGAACTGTGAGCGATGAATTTGAGCCCCCCAGTCTGTGGTGTCTGTTACGGCAGCCCGAGCAGTCTGGGACACCCGGTGACCCAGCGATGCCACAGCTAAGTGTACACCCAGGAGAAATGACACCAGGGACGCAAACAAGCCTGTGCACACATGCATGCACAACCACCCAGAGGTGGGGACAGCCCAGGTGCCCATCAACTGGCGAACGGATGACCAGTGTGGTCCATCCATACGATGGGATGTTATTCAGCCTTAAAAAGGAAGAACGTTCTGACACCTGTTACATCATAGATGAACCTCAGAAAGAAGTGAAGGAAAAGAAAAGCCCGGTCGCCACGGGCCACACAGTGTACGAATCCATTTATGCGAAAAGACCAGAACAGGCAAATCCAGAGAGACGGAAAGTATGGATCAGTAGTTTCTCTAGGCTGGGGCGGGTGGGGGCGACACGGGGAGTTATTGCTTAATGGGTACGGGGTTTCCTCTTGCAGTGACAAAAAGATTCTGGAACTGGATAGTGGTGATGGTTACACAGCTCCGTGAATGTACTTAATCCCCCTGAGTTGTATACTTTAGAATGGTTAAAATGGCAAGTTGTATGTTATGTGTACTTTACCACAATAAAAAATTATAGCAGACACAATAAAGTAATATGGTGGCAGATTTCTTTGAAAATAAATTTAGCCTGGGGGGAGAAAGGAATCTCCGCTGTAAGGTTTGGAAGGGCCCTGTGCCTGGGGCCAACCCAGCCCAGCGCCCAGGAGGAGTGGGCTTCGGAAGCTGAGTCTGGCCGGGCATTCAAGTGCCAGGACCGATGTGCGCCAGAGGCCAAGACGGCCTGAGTCTCCCCCTCCCCGTGGGCCACCACCTCGACGGGGAGGGCGCTCCAGGTCACATGCCCACTGGTGACCCCGGGATGCATCCTCCCTGGACGTCCAAGGGGGTGGCAACCAAGGACACAAAACCCACCCCCCTCCAGTGAGCGTGGAGACACCTCCACCAGAGACGCATCACCCTTCCTGGGAGGGAAAATGGAGAGCAGGCTCCTCTATTTAACAAAACACACGCCAACCATCAACGGCTGGGAAGTGTCACCAGGAGGGTGCTGACGAGGAAGTGAAGTGTGGGTGAATGCAGATTCCTCCCCGGGGGCAGGGCTGCTGCACCCGCCAAGCCCGCTCCGGGCAGAACTGTGCACATGTGAGCAATGTGTCTGAGCCCATCTTCCACCCCAGAGTCATCAAGCAAGCCCTGCACTCCTTGGGGAGCCCTGCGCTGTGGGGACGGTGCAGGCCCGGGGACAGGCTGGGGGAACCCGAGCCCATGTGGGGCCCAAGATTCCCAGCTGGCCCTCTAGGCCAAGCTGGAGGACAGGGCAGCCCGGGAGCCAGGGATGTCTCTGTCCTGGGGAGGTGCCGTGGGCACCAGCTCCCTCTGGAGCTCCTTCTGCTTAAATGTTACCTGCTCACTGCTCCCTGCCCACCTGCCTCCCACCCCAGCCATCCAGTCAACAAACATTCCCTGAGCACCTACCCAGAGTCAGGCTCTGTGCTCAGAGTGACTGGGGCCCAGCCCCCGTTGCCAGGGTCCTCGTAGACAGGTAAGTGAAGCATGCAGCCCAAGGTGGGGGCAAGGAAGGGGGGATGGAGATGGACTTGGGGTTGGGGGGGTAATGGGAGCACAGGGAAGGCACCTGGGTTGTCAGGGGCCTGGGAAAGTGCCCAGGGGCAGGCCCCAGGAAAGGGCACCTGACGATGGGTTTCATCATATAAGTAGAAGCTTGCCAGGGAGGAAAGACATCCCAAGCAGGCCTCATAATCAGGAGCACGTCTTCTTAGCACACCACTGCCTGGCCCTGCCCTCCTGATGGGCGACCGCACACACCTGCCGCTGCACCTGGCCCTCACGACCCCCCACTGTGCTCCAAGCACATTCCCTCTGTAAGTGCCCGGGAGCGAAGGAGACAATGCCTGCCCTGCAGCTGTGGGGGGGGGGGGGGGCGGGCGCCCCTTCCCCCAGCCGTGGTGTGGTGGGGAGGCTCCCATGGTCCCATATCCCCCCATGGAAAGAGCCAGCATGCTGCCTTGGAAGCTGCCAGGTGAACGAGGTAATTCACGGAGATACACACCAAAAGGGAGCACAACTTACGTGTTGAGGGTCAAAGGGAGGCATGACTGATTTGGTTCTAAGGGAGTTTTTGGAGACCAGATCACCCAAAGGCCACACTCAGAGTATGAATTACACGAGCAACATGCCTCAGCAAGGCTGTCAGTAGCTGGCACAGAGCAGGCACTGTGGGGGGGTGGGCGTGGCACCTCGTGCAGGGGGTCTGTCCTCATGTTGCGTCCAGCCAGGGGCTCGTCGTGGGGGAAGACGACCGAGTAATTCCTGGAGTAGGACTCGTGGCTGCGCTCTCGAATCCAGCGGCCGTGGTCTGTGAGCGAGTGGTGGAAGCGCCTGTCGTGGATAGAGTGGCCCGTCACTGCCTTGGGGACCCTCGTCCCCTCCACGGGAGTCCTCCCTATGGCTCAGGCCTCAGGGTGGCTCCTGGCTCTCCGTTCTCCCACCGAGGGGCCTCGGGCAGCCCGCAAATCTTGGGGAGCTCAGCGTCCTCACCTGCAGCCCCCTACAGCTGACGGGCACAGGGAGTGGACAGAGCTGGGTCCCTGCCCACTCTGGCTCGCACGCGGGGTGACTTCAGACAAGATGCCTCTTGCGACGGTGCCTCTGTTTTGCTGTTTGTAGCGGGAGGGGCTTGGACTGGCCCATCCCTGAGGCCCCGGGCAGCTTTATCATTTCTGGAACATTCCTCTCTTGGGAGAGCACGTGGGCACAGACCCAGACAGACTCCAAGGTGGCGCCAGAGCGGACCACGCTGTGCCAGGCGCCATGGAGGGGCGGCAGTGGGGGGGCGGGACCTCAGGGTATGTCTGTCTGTCTCTGTGGGGGCCAGACATCTCCCCCAGTGGACACAAGGTGCCCAGCGGGCCAGGCAGGGACGAGGTGAGCAGAGGAGCTGGGGTGCGCTGAGCTGAACCAGCGCCACCTCCAGCCCTGCCACCTCCAGCCCTGTCGGGCAGCTGGGATCTCCCCAGTCACAGCAGAGCGGGCTGAACACCCACAGAGGCCCCTCCAAGCCGCTGCCTCGACTGCCACCTGCAGGGCTCGGGGCGCAGAACTGCCACCTGGGGGCCAGACCCCAGCCCCACCGATTGCCACCCTCCGGACCCTGCCTGGGGGCACCCGCATCCCTGTCCCAACTCATAGAGGTCAGTGGGCAACCAGGATGCCTCCCAACTCTGATATCAGTGCCTCCTGGGCTCAGCTCAGCTTTGTTTAGTGTTTCCATGTGCAGACCTGATGCCGAGCGTTTTACCTACAAAAACACGCTCACGGCTGCCGGCGACATTTACAGCATATACATCACACCCCAGGTTACAGAGAGGAAAGTGCTCGGCACAGGGTCTGACTGATTCCAGACACCCTGTGAGTGAGGGATGGATGCAGCTGACATGTCGCTCAGGGCTGCCTGTCTCCCAGATCCGCACATGTCCTAACAATGACCACCAATTCAGCCCCATTTCCTGGGCAGCCTGTGCAGTCCCTCCTGCTCCCCGGCCTCAGTCTCCCCATCTGCAAAGTGGGATGATATGATCCCACTGCTGATCCCAGAGCTGTCAGGCGGGTCAGGCAGGACACTGGGACAATAGGTCCTGGAAACTGTAGGGGGCCGTGGATCTGCCAAACCCAGGCACCCTGCAGCACCGCCCCCGCTGGCAGGCTTCTTCCCTTTCTTCCCTTACTGCCGCCTCTTCCAAGAAGCCCTCTGGATTTCAGGAAATCTAAATAGCCCTGGATATTTCTAAATAGCCCTGGATATTTCTAAATAGCCCTGGATATTTACCCCACCCCACCCTAGGGCAGCCACCTCCTGCCCACGGGTCCCAGCGGGCACTTGCCTGATGTCGTAGCTGTGCATGTCCTTCTCCGGGCGCCCGTGGATGACCCAGTGGGCCAGCTCCTGCCCACAGCCACCTCCCAGCATCATTCCTGGCAGGAGCAGAGCCGCAGGTCTGCAGTCCACCCCCAGGGCCCTGCACCTCAGTTCCGTGCCCCTCCCACCTCTATGGGCAGCATCAGCCCCTAAGCCCTGGATCTCACACCTGGGGTGCCACACACCTCCTAACGGGACCTCACCCCCTCCCGGCAGGCTTGTGCCATCTCCACCCCTGTCAGGGCTGCAGCGCTGCCAGGCCCAGCGCCCCAACCCGGGGTGGGTGCTCTGAGAACTGAAGGAGAGGCCCAGTTGGCTGTCTTCACTCGCAGGGATGCCAGGGAGTCGGGGACGCACTGCTGCCCACGCTTACCTGCACTGTTGAAGCCGCAGCCCAGGAAGAACCCACGGAGCTCGGGTGCCTCCCCCATCAGGGGCTTGTGGTCCGGTGTGAATGACTCTGAAAGGGAGGGGTAGGCCTGAAGCTCCCTCCCGGCCACATGCTCCTGGGTGGTGTCTCCCAAGAGGGCAGTAACTGAGGTGGGGGTGTGTAGGTGCCTTCTTCATCCAGACCCTCCCTAGCCTCAAGACCCGGCTCAATGCTGCTTCCTCCAGGAAGCCTCCCTGATTGGTCCTGCCACATTCCCCTGAGTTCCTCAGCATTTACGACCTGAACTGCGTTCTGCCTTGGTGGGGGTCCTGGTGTATCTCGTGACTATCACCATTCTCCTGTTGGTGAGGGGCCGCTCCCTGAGCCCCCATCACTGCACGGGGCTCCCGGTCACTATACCATCTTCCTGCTGTGTCACTGCAGGGCACTCTTGCCCACTGGACCACGAGTACCTTGAGGGCAGGGGCTGGGCTTTGCTCACTGCGTGTGGTGTCTCGAAGCCTAGCACAGGGCCCAGCAAACAGTAGGTGCTTGATAAATGTTCACTGAGTGAATGAAGGATCATAAGTTCTTTGGGCGAGGAGACCAAGTCTCTCGCTTCTGTCTGCTGCCAGCGTGCCAAGAGCAGAGGCCAGGATTGGAGGGAGAGGGATCCTCGGGCATAATGATAAAGAGCTAGACTTTGCAGCCACAGTCCTGGGTTCAAACCCCGCTTTACCCCTTCCTAGCTGTGTGACCTTGGCTCAGAGCCGCCTTGATTTCCTCATCTGTAAAATCCAGATCAGGGGATTTTCTTTACGGGGCTGTGAGTTAGTCGCTCTGCAAATATTTGCAGCCCACCTGTTTGTGCCCAGAACTCGGCCACGGGAGGTGGCTCCGAACAAAACAAGCCCCACCCCTCGGGGAGCCAATGGGAGAGTGAGAGGGACAGAGAGTAAATGGGTAAATAAGGGGAAAAGGGAATGCCTGGGGAGAAAACACAGTGGGATTCTGGGTCTGGAGTGACCGGAGGGCTGGCCGCTCCTAACCGCCCCCCTGGCGCCATCATAACCCCGGGTCACAAAGGAGGACGCTGCACAGCAAGGAGCTGGGGCCGCCGGTCAGGGCTGCCTGGCTCCCAGCCGGGCCCTCAGGCGCCGTGTGCACTGGTCACAAGCGCTGTCTTTCTCACTGCTGGTGACCGGCGACCCCGGTCTCTGATCTTCAGCATCTGAGCTGAACGAGGCCACCAGCCCTGGGAAGCTGGGGAGCCTCCCAAACAGCCACAGGGGAGGGTGGAAAAAGCAGGGCGGAGAGGAGGGCAGGGCCTAGGGTGAGTCCCTGGAGGCCACGGTGACACTGGTGAGCCTCCGGGGGAGGCATCAGGAGGGGCGACAGCCCTGTGAGGAAGCGTCAGGGGCCTCTCTGGGGACTGTGTGGAGGTTGGGCTGCAAGGGGCAAGCTGGGGGCAGGGGGCAAGCCGGAGGCTGGGGGGCAGGGGGTGGGGCGCAGGGGGCGGCTCCCGCGACAGTGATGGGAGGCTGCAGCTATGTTCGGGGATGACCCGGTGAGCACTTCGGGAGTGCTGTAAATGTTTCCACAATGTTCTGAGCAGCCTTACAGAAAGCCAGCAGGAGGGAAGTTTGGGGGTCAAGGTCGCCTGGATGTTTAACAAATGACTCGAGAGGATGCAGGATGCACGGGACAGGGGCCCCCACCTTGGCTCTGACCTCCCGACCTTGGAACGAGAGGTCTCCCCGCCCCCAGCTTCCCTGAAGTCAAGGGGGCCTGGGACTTCCCTGTTCTGCTCTGGAGGCCGAGGGCCGTTGACCGCCCTGTCCTCCCTGGTGAGAAGTGCTGATGTCCCCACGGAACCTCCCTCGCAGCTGGGAAACCAGACTCCACATGCATCTCCCCCCAAGTAGGGCTTCCTGGGGGCCATGACCCCCAGTCCAATTAAAGCGAGAATATGCTCCCCGTGCCCCTGGGATTGCTTCCGGCCTGGGTTTCTCACTGCCAGCCCCACGCAGCCCCGGGAAGCTGCCGGGGCAGTGAGCCCTCGGCCCTCGCCCCGCACCCTGTGCCCCAAGACCCTGTGGTTGGCCGGGGGACCCCAGCTGCCTCTCCCCAGAAAGCTGTCCTCTCACCAGAGGCTCTTTCACGAGCTGAACAGATTAGAGCAGTTGGGGCTGGCGGCTGTGCAGACACCGTGTGTGCCGGAACCAAGAGCGCTGGACTCCCCAGCGGTCCGCAGGCTGGTGTCAGGACCTCTCCCCTCCCCTGGCCTGGGCTGCCCTTCACGCCCTGCTCGGCCTGTAGGAATGGCTTTGCCGGCTGGCCTGTGGCATCCTTTTGCTGGCCTGGGCCTTGCCCTGCAACCTAATGTGTGGCTTCCTCACCTCACTCTGCCTGGCACCCATTTCACAGATGCAAACACTGAGGCTCAAAGAACTCAGAGCCTCAGACACAAAGTTTCCTCTTTGGGCAACTGTATCTTTTGGAACTTCTCTCCACCCCTAGGTAGGCACATCCTACCCGTTTCTTGCCTCTCTTGAGGATTAAAGCGATCCCATCCATGCAGGAAGGAGGGGGGATGCCCACGTGATTCTGCTGGAACCAGCCTGGGGTGGCGTGTCTCACCCGCCTGGAACCCTGGCCCCGCAGTCCCCCACGGCACCCTCTGGGTGGCCCACCCTGCTCCCACCACCTCTGTACCTCCCGCCCTCAGCCCCGCAGCTGAAACGTCTGGGCCCCAGGGCCAGCTTGGGCCCCTCTACGCCCAGAGGCCACCGTCTGCCAGAACCCCAGGCCAGCAGCCTCACCCCTGCACCCCAGTGCCGTCACACGGGAACGTGCTGCCCCCCTGCCCCGAGCCCACCCACCTTGGGTTCCCACTTCGGGAGCTCCGCCCAGCCTCCCACACAGGCTCCCCCACTGAGCTCCCCACGTGCCCGGGCACGAGGCAGGCGCTCAGCCGTCAGAAGGAGCCGGGCGGATACTGTGCGAGTTCCCCCACACCACGTCCCCGCTGACATTGTCCCGGGCTTGAATCTTATTCTAGAACCTTCTCCATCTGCACACAGCCTTTGAGACACTCAGCATGCCTGGGCCTCCCCCACCCTGGGGTCCCTGAGCTCCCTGGGCAACCCCAGGATGGCCCTCTCTCAGGCTCCATTGTCGAGCGGTCACCTCTCCGTGCTGAGCCGTGAGTGACCCGTGCTGGGACAAGTCACATCAGTTTGAATGTCCGAAGCCTAGCCTGCCTGGCAGGCCCTGAACAATAAACCAGTGGCCTTGGCCAAACGCGTCAGTGCTGGGGGTCCGAGTCCGCCCCGCCTGGTGTTCGATCCCCGTGGGCACCGGCTGGCCGGGCAGGGTCAGGGGCTGCACCGTGCATACCCAAGGGGGGCATCGGAAGCTGAGCCCCTCTGTTCTCCCCCTTTCCCTCCAGCTTCCCGCAGCTTAGCTTTCCCAGGGCCCAGAGGGGAGGCACCGGCTTGGGCCTTTCCATGCCGTGTGGGCGTGCGGCCCTGCTGGCCTGCCTGCCGAAGGCAGAGGGCAAAGGGGGCGAGGCTGACCTGGAACGGGGGTCTGCAGCCCTGTGAGAACGGCATCAGGGAGGAGCTTGGCGCTTCTCTCCTTGCTTAGCCTCACCAGGCGCTGGGAGGGGGCTCATCCCATCTTACGGATGAAAACACCAGTTCCAGGGACAAGTCAAGCAGGGATTGAGCCAGGCGGGACCTCAGGAGGGACTCATGCGGGCGTGGGCGGGAGGAAGCCTGGCCGTGTGCCCGTGGGCGGACTTCTGCCCTCACCGAGCTCATGTCCTTTGCCTGCAGAGAAGAGCGAGCGCGGCACCCGAGGCCCAGGACGGAGGGACGGCCGGCACGCGCCCGGCGCAGGCCAGCCTCAGGGGGCAGCCCCCCCCGCCGGCTCCAGGCCCCCCCCCCCACTCACCTGGGCCGCAGACTGTGGACTTAATCCCCGTTTTCTCCAGCACGGGGACCCGGTTGATGGCACCTTCAATGTGCTGGGTGAACACATCCCAGTCCAGGTCGAAGAGGCCAAAGGCAAACTTGTCCGACACCTGGGGAGGCGGGCAGGGAACCTGCCCTGTGACAGTGCCCCACGGGAGTGAGAGCCAGGCAGGGCCTGGCCAGCCTCTCGATTAGGTGGTGACAGCGCTGGGCTGGTCCCCGCAGTGCCTCCCCTCCCCCGACCCCTCAGCGGGCCCGTCTGTGCCCCCTTCCCGCCCCGCCCCAGGCCCACCTGCTCTGCCCCGTCGCCCTGCCTCCCGCCCTCCTTCACCCCATTCACCTAAGCCAGATCCGCCCTACGTGAGCGGACCCTGCCCACGTCTACCACCAACCCACAGCCACGCTGAGCTTCCTTCGGGTCTTCGGGAAAAGCAAGCCTGATCTGACCTCAGGGCCTTCACCTCCACCTGGGGCAGCTCCTCCCCTGCCTTCTGTCTGCAGGGCTCTCTGCTCGATGTCAGCTCCTCAGGGAGCCCTGCCCGACCACAGTCCGAAGGACATCGTTCCATGCCAGTCTCGCTAGGCTTATCCTTAACCTGCTAACTTCACTCAGGGCACAGACCATCATCCCAAATTGCATTACTTCTTTGCTTATTTACTGTGTGTCTCCCCACCAGAATAGAGGCCTCTGGGGACAGGGACTCTTATCTTGGTCTCCCTCTTTCTCCCCAAAGTTAAACAGTATCTGGCTGAAAGGACTCATTTTGTTGTTCAATTTGTAGACTAAATGCATGAGTACGGGAGCTGGGGTGGTCCGTGCATGCTCGAGGGGGCTGCGGCTGCTGGGGGGGGGGGGGCCGCTGGCCCTGCATGAACCCCAGGAGCTGCCAGCAGAGCAGCCCAGGTCGGAGGGAGATACAGCTGCAACCACGGGGGGTGGGGGAGGGCATGGGATTGCTTGTTGATGGACAGAGGGCTTCAATGCTTTCATAATCTTCTGAATTCATTATTTCACACTTTGCAGCCTCTGACGATCGATGTTTTGAGGCAAGCCCTCCACCTGCCCCGAGTCTGGATCTGCCTGTGTGCCAGGTTCTTCAGGGGTTGGAGAAAATGGGTTTGGCCTTGACCTTGTGGGATGGGGGACCTGCCACTTCTCAGGTAAGCCCCCAGGGTCGGGGAGCTCCGGGGGGACAGTCTCCGGAAGAAGACTCCTCCACACTGAGACGCAGCCCCTGTGCCCGTGGGCGGACTTCTGCCCTCCCCGAGCTCCCTCAAGCCCTGGTGTCTCACCTCCTCCCAGAAGATGGGGTTGGTCTCGTAGCCGCCCACAGACAAGGCGTCCCCTTGGAGGCGGAGGTAGATGGAGGCGTCATGGTCGCGGACGTTGGGCATGTTCTGCAAGGTGGAGCACAGAGGCCTCAGGGTCAGGGTCACAGACCCAAGCTGGGCCCACGGTGCCACCTCCTCGTTGTAGGGACCCTGAGGACAGGGTGGACCTGGGGCCTCTGGGTCACACAGTGGACAAACCGCCCCATTGAAACCCCATAAAATAGCAGCAAAGATGGAAGGACGGAGGGAGGGAAGTAAAAAGGATAACCCACAGAACACAGCAGACAGGGGATCTCAACCAACACCGGAGGTGCAGAGTGGATGGGGGAGGGCCGGTGCCTTAGCTCAGGGCTGGGAGAGGGGAGACAGTTCGCCAGCCTCTGTCCAGTCCCCTCCAATCTGCAAAGGCCGAGCCTAGGGCAACCCCAGGTCCCTCTGCAGGGGGCGGTGGGCCGAGTGTGTATGTGTGCATGCACACATGTGTGTGAGTGTGCACGTGTGTGTGAGTGTGAGAGGGAGTATGTGCATGTACGTGAACAGGAAGTTGGACTAGGGTCTCTTCAAAGCAATTGGACCCAGATCCCTTCCAACCCCGCCGCGTGCAGCCCAGGGCCTGGCCCTACCCTGCAGGGGCCCTGAGGTCTGTCTCTGGAGAAATGGGTCCCCAGGGGCTCCAGGCTCCGGGGAGGTGAGAAGCCGGCTGCCATCCCCCCTCGACAACAGATTGGAGAGTCTTCTGTGGAGACACTGAGTGGTCTGGGGAAGACTCCGGACGCTGACATGGAGATCCCTCACCAAAGAGAAGAGCATTCGACAGAAGGACTGGATAAGGCCAAGGACATCTTCCAGATATTAGGCTAAAACAGATTAAGGCATGGAAATCAGGAAAGGGAAAAAAATAAGAAAATTAGAAAGTCAATCCTGAAGGTCTGATGTCCACCTTACAGGGGTTCCAGGAAGAGAAAACAGAGAAAATGGAGTAGAAGGAAAGTCAAAGCAAAAATCCAGGATGATTTCTCCGACTGAAAATCGTGAATCTCAGTATTGAAGGGCCCACAAGTGCCCAACAAGCCCTGTGACTGGACCAGGCCTGCACCAAGGCCACATCAGGATGGAACATCCGGTGAACACGTGGGTCCTAAACAAAGAAACAGCATTCCTAGAGGCTGTAGACCTGAAGCAAAGTCCTCAAAATTCTGAAAGACGATTTTTAAATACAGAATTCTCGACCCAGTCAATTCGTCAACCGACTGTAAGAAAGAATAAAGATTTCCTTCAGACATCCACGGACACAAAAACGTTTACTTTCCAGGTACCCTTCTCAGTAAGTGGCCAGAGACCATATGCCATGGATCCAGAGAGCAGCAGATCCAAACAGAAGATGGGTGAGGAAGGTCCCAGGGTAACAGCCGGTCAGAGGCTGACGGAGAAGATAAGAAGGCAGCGGGAGGAGTCCTTCAGGGGAGGGGAATGGGACTTACAGACTTTATGGGATTTCTCTGCCACGTATGAGTATGCAGAAAATATTACTGATAGGTGTTTGACAAATCTGTTGAGATGTTTGGGGGAAAATTGTGACGGTTATGAATACAGATGCAAATATCCTTGACAAAATACTAGGAAACTGAATCCAGCAACATAGAAAAAGGATTATATACCATGACCAAATGGTATTTATCCCGGGAATGCAAGGTTGGTTTAACACCTGAAAATCTGTGTAATATACCATTATCAATAAAGGACAAAATCCACTAATTATTTCAATAGATGCAAAAAAAGCATTTGACAGATAAAACACTTTCATGAGAAAAACACCCAATGTCTAGGAATAGAAGGGAACTTCCTGATAAAGAGTATCTGAGGAACAGCCACAGCAAATGCATACTTATGTGCAGTGTTTCCTCTAAGACCAGGCCAAGAGAAGCAGGTCTACTGTCGCCACTGCCATTCAACATTGTACAGGAGGTCCCGGCCCGGGCAGCAATCAGGCAAGAAAGAGTATTAAAGGCATCCAGAGGAAAAAAAAGTAAAACTATCTCTAGGTGCAGGTGACATGATCTTACACAGAGAAAATCCTAACGACCCCACTAAAAACTCTTATAACTTATAAAATAGTTCAACAGGGTTGCAGGATACAAGGTCAATATACAACAAACAGACAAAACCCGCTGCATTTCTATATACCAGCAGTGAACAATCAAAAATGAAATTAGGGGGGCTTCCCTGGTGGCGCAGTGGTTGAGAGTCCACCTGCCGATGCAGGGGACGCGGGTTCGTGCCCCGGTCCGGGAAGATCCCACATGCCGCGGAGCGGCTGGGCCCGTGAGCCATGGCCGCTGAGCCTGCGCGTCCGAAGCCTGTGCTCCGCAACGGGAGAGGCCACAACAGTGAGAGGCCCGTGTACCGCAAAAAAAAAAAAAAAAATGAAATTAGGAAAATAATTCAATTTACGATATCAAAAATAATAAAATGCTTACAAATAAATTTAACAAAAGAAGTGCGATATTTGTACTCTAAAAACTAGAAAATGCCTTTGAAAGAAATGAAAGAAGATGTGAATAATGGAAAGACTCTCAAGTTTACAAAATGAAGACTCACTATTGCTAAGATGACAGCACCCCCCAAACTGATCCACAGATTCAACACAGCTCCCACCAAAATCTCAGCTGGCTTCTTGGCAGAAGTTGACAAGCTGACCCTAAAATTCGTATGGAAGTGCAAGGTACCCAGAATATTCAAAGCAATCTTAAAAGAGAAGAACAAACATGGAAGACTTGCACTTCTGATTTCAAAACTTACTACAAGGTTAATATAATCAAGACAGAGTGGTACAAACATAAGGATAGACATATATAGATCAACGGAATAGAGTTGAGAGTCCAGAAATAAACCGTCCACACTTATGGTCAACTGATGTTCCACGAGGATGCCAAGGCAATTCAGTGGGGAAAAGGATAATCTTCAGCAAATGGTGGCGGAACACCTGAATAGCCGCCTGCAAAAGCACGACGTTGGACCCCTTCCTCACGCCACACACAAAATTTGACTCCAAATGTACTGTAGACCTAATTATAAGAGCTAAGACTATAAAATTCTTAGAAGAAAATACGGGAATAAATCTCTGTGGCCTGGTTTAGGAAATGCCTTCTTAAATATGATACCACAGGTACAAGGGGCAAAAGAAAAAATTACATAGGTTGAAATTACTTCATCAACATTTAGAACTTTTGTGCTGCCAACAATACCAACAAGAGAGTGAAAAGACAACCCACAGAAGGGGAGAAAATATTTGCAAATCATAAATCTGATGAGGGACTTGTATCCAGAATACATGAACTCTTAGAGTTCAACAGAACGACAATCCAATTAAAAATGAGCAAAGTATCTGAATAGACGTTTCCCCAACGAAGATATACATGTGGCCAACGGGCACATGAAAAGACACTCAACGTCATCACTCATTAGGGAAATGCAACTCGAGCCACAAGATGCCACTTCACACCCACTACGACGGCCAGAACCAAAAAGACAGACAATAACAAACATTGCTGAGAATGTGGAGAACTCAGAACCTTCATACACTGTTGATGAGAATGTGAAACAGTGCAGCTTCCTTGGAAAACAGGCTGACAGTTCCTCAAAAAGTTAAACATAGAGTTACTCTGTGACTCAGCAACTCCACTTCCACCCAAGAGAAAGGAAAACATGTGTCCACACAAAAACTTGTACATGAGTGTTCATAGCAGCATTATTCACAATAGCCAAAAAGTGAAAACAACCCATATGTCCATCAACAGATGAATGGATAAATAAATTGTGGTTTACAAGAGTATGTTATTCAGCCATAAAAAGGAATGAAATTCTGCCACATGTACCACATGGATGAACCTTGACAATGCCACGCAGGGTGAAAGAAGCCAGACATAAAGGCCACAAATGATGTGATTCCATTTCATTCAAAGTCCAAAATAGGAAAATCCATAGAGACAGAAATTACATTAGTGCCTATCTAAGTTGAGGGTGGGGTGGGAAATGGGGACTGATAATGTACATGGGGTTTTAAGGACTAAGATAATGTTAGATAGACAGACAGACAGACAGACAGACAGACAGATAGATAGAGATAGATAGATGATAGATAGATAGATAGATGATAGAGATAGATGATAGAGATAGATAGATGATAGATGATAGAGATAGATGATAGAGATGATAGATGATAGAGATAGATAGATGATAGATGATAGAGATAGATGATAGAGATAGATAGATGATAGATGATAGATAGATAGACGATAGAGATAGATAGATGATAGAGATAGATGATAGGTGATAGATAAATAGATAGATGATAGAGATAGATAGACAGGTAGATGATAGAGATAGATAGATGATAGAGATAGATGATAGGTGATAGATGGATAGATAGATGATAGATAAATAGGCAGATGGATAGATAGATAGGAATAAAGAATTAGTCACAGCTACATAGGAAACTGAACAACCAGAAAAAAACTATTAATAACTCCAGGAAACACGAAAAGTTGGACACTATTTGCTCAGGAGTTAACAATGTTCTCATTGTCATTATACTGCAAATACTGACTACTGATTTAACCAATAAATGGACGGATAAACAGAACCAAAGCATTTTAGAAAGTGAGCGGAGCGGGAAGAGGCCCCCCCCACGGGGGTCCTCAGCACTGGGGGAACGGCTTCCTCTCAACCCTGCTCTGCGGTGCCCCTGCCCTGGAGATGGACACATCTGATGTGACCCCTCCGCCCCACCTTCGAGGACACGCAGAGACCAAAAGGGATAACCTGGCAGATGCCCCTCCCTGCTCCTCCAGTCTCCTAGTCGCCTGGCTCCCCTGCAGAGCTGGACTAAGCATGTCTGCACTGATTGCCAGAAGGCACATGGGAAGCTCTCAGTAACCGAGCACTTCAGGAATAATAATAGTGAGATCGTTACCTCTGCTGTCACTACTACTCTAAAAACAAAACCAACAGAATGCCAGAGCTCCATAGAGCAGGAGAGCGGGGACACCTGGTGGCCAGGGAAGCCCCTGGCTTTCCTCCAGCAGGATCAGGGTCCCCATCTCCCCGCCTTGCAAGGCCCCGGCTGCCCCAGAGTGGCCAGCACAGGCTCAGCTCAGCCCCAAGGCGTCCACAGGGTGCCCTCAGTGCTTCCTCCCTCCGGAAGCCCACCCTGTAGGTGTAACGCCAATTCCACTGGTGTCTCTGCCTCCTAATCTCAGCCCATTCCTTCCATCTGCTTCTCCTGGCCCCACCTCCATCCAAATCTTGTCAGCTGCTTCCTCCAGGAAGCCCGCCGATGGCTCCAGCCTTCCCTGCTCTCTTCCTCTGAAGCACCAGCTGGCTGGACCATCCCATGCCCTTAGTCACGGTCAGTCATCGTGGCCCTCACCTAATGAGCCCCTGCTATGTGCCAGGCCCTGCGCTCAGCCCTTCAGCCCATCACTTGGTTCCTCCCTCAGCACTGCCCTAAGGGGTAGCTACCATTTTTACCCATTTTGCAGAGAAGGAAACTGAGGCTCAGGTGGCACCTTGACTCACCTGGCTGGGTAATGGGGGAGTTGGGATGCAGACCCTGAGCATGGGCCCTCTCCCATTGCTCTGTGCCCCAACGGAGCAGGTTCTGCAAAAGTGGGTCGAGGATAGTGGGGATGCCAGACCATGAGGGAGCATCTGGGCCACCACGTTTGACAAACGCAGAGGCCAGGCCCAGAGAGGAAAGGGACAAGGTCACAGAGGAGCTGGGGACAGCATTTGGCTAGGACCCAGGACGGGGACGGCTTCTCAGAACTGGGGTCCCTAGGGCAGCACAGCCCTCTGGCCACCCATAAAGAAAGATAAAGGGCATGTGGTCCAGGTGGCAAAGCCCTGAGCCCTCACTGGCCAGCCCGGGGCCAACACCATGAGGCCCAGATCTGGGCAGTTGGTGTCCTGCTGCAGGACTGTCAACCCAGGGAGCCTCCTGAGCAGTGGAAAACAGGCCCAAGTGTCAGGGGCCTCCCAGCGTGAGCCCCAGAGCCCTGACTGCAGGAGCTGCCTTGGCCTAAAGGAGCTTGTTTTCTGACCCACCATGGCATCAGACCACGCGGGAGGTCAGGGTCAGAGGCCTGCTCTTCTCACAGATTCAGGCTGCCCAGGTGTGGCCTCAGGAGAGGCTGGCCTCCCAGACTCCCCACGTGGAGGGGAGCATGGGGAACTTGGCCCCCAGCCCCAAATCTCCTCTTTTCTCCTACAAAAGTCTCAGAGTTTCTGGGGCTGGTGGCCCTTTCCTGGAGCGCAGCCTGGGGTTCCCAGAACACACAGGTTGCTGGGTGGGGGTGGTGTTTGTGAGTAACGTGAATAATCCCAGCTTGGATCTGACCTTAAAATTCAGGGTGTGGGTCCCTGGGCCCACTCTGCCCTGCTTCTCCCTGAAAGCTGCCTCAAAGCTGGGCATCAAGTGCAGCAGGACACGGAGAGACTGAGGCCCCAGTCTTGGGCTCTGTAGGACACAGCCCTGCTCTGGCCCCAGCCTGTCCCCAGCTTTAGCCCAGCCCCCGAGAGCCCACTGCGGCCTGAGGGCGACCCCTGGCGGCCACGGGGGATATTTCTCACAGAACCAGGGCCAGGGGACTCTTCGCACCAACAGCTGCAGTGATGCCTCTTTCCCCAGAGCCCCACCCGGAGGGCACACAGCAGCCCTCGGGAGGAGTGTGTGTGCTGGATTGTATTAAACTCTTCCACGAACGGGGGAACCTTTTGTGTGTGTGTGGGGGGGGGTGTGACAAGAGCGGCGGAGACCCCGGCCCCGCGCCAGCTTCCCCCACCCCTCCGCCACTGGGTCCACCCAGCGGCCAGCCTGGTGACCAGAGGGAAGCCAGGCTTGTCCAGGGCAGCGATGAGGCTCCCAGGACACTCTTTGCTGGAGCCTGACCCTAAACAAGGTCAGTCTGGTCTCTCACACTCTCCCCACACCCACACCCTCAGGCCCGCTTCTCTGAACTGCCTGCAGTTCCCCGGCCACCAGGCTCTGCGTCCTCCCCTTCTCCCCCTCCTTCTCTCTCTGCCACCCTTCAGATGCCTCAGAAGAGCCTTCAGACATGGCTTCCGCCAGGGCACCTCCCTGGTCCATAGGCTGGGAGTCCCTATAGCCCCTGTGCTTTCCCCCTGGGAGCCCCTGTCAGCCTGTTTTAAAATAAATAATATCTTTACTTGTTTGTACCCTTCCCCCAGCTCACCTGGGTGAGAACTAGGTTCTTATCTCTGTTATAGTCCCAGTTTCTAGATGAGGGCTTGGAGCACAGAGCTTATCCAGTCAATGTTTGATGCAGAGAAGGGTGGGGAGGGAGCGTTAGATGGATTAATAAACGGATGGATGATGGAGGAATGGGTGAAGGGAGAGATGAATGGGTAGAGGGGGTGATGGTTGGATGGATACATGAGAGAAAGGACGGACAGATGAATGGACGGATAAATAGATGAATCAATGGATGGACGAAGGGCTAGAGGGAGGGAGGGATCGGAGGAAGGATGGAGGGATGGCAAGAGGAACAGAGGGAAGGAAATGAGTAGAGGGATAAAGGATGGAGGGAGGGAGGGGGAGGAGGCTGGAGGGAAAGGAGTGGTCAGTGACAAGGCGACAGGAAGCCACCCACCACCAGCACAGGAGAGGGGAGATAGAAAGGGGGGAGAGGGGAGATAGACAGGAAGGAGAGGAGAGAGGGCAGGGGTCGCACAGCTCCCCCCCCCCCCCCC